TTTATCTACTTACGTGAGTTTTCGAACTGTTGGGTTTACAGGAACTGGGGAGAAAACAGGAGCTCACCCTGCTAACGCGAAAGGCTGGACTTGAACCGCTGAAGCGTCGACCATTTCTGGCCGGCAACTTTCAGTGTCATTAAGCCGCTGTGCCGCTGCGCCACCGCGTCCCCTTCTCTATATATAGTACTAGAGAACTCCAAAAACTATACGGCAGTAAATAACTGAGTTCTATTCCTCTTAGTCCAGATAATTATTAGAAAAAAAAGTCAGAATAGGTATGTTTAAGGGTCAATATTATATATAATATGGAAAAATTATAAGCAAATATCTTACTAATATTATTAAATCCATAAGATTCTCTTGCTTTTGCTTCTGTGTATTTTGTAGTTGTCCACCTTCCATACCTATTTGGATCTACTTCTATTAGGTCAAAAGGAGGCTCTCCACTGAGTATCCAGTCACTGAGATACTTTCCTATACCACCAGCATGGATGATTCCATACCTGGGAGGGGAGAGAAAAGGGGAAAAAAGATAAATATTTAATTTACTACAGTAATATATTTCATCAAATATTTAAATAAAGGCTGGGTAAACTCACATTCTACTAGTTTTACAGGAATTTTGTTTTTTATCTCCCTGATATTTGGGTTAGTGCAAGGCTTAGCAAGGGAGAGGAAGTCAGCTCCAGGTAGAAGGATTAGATCTGAAAGTCTGGGTATAATTCCCAAATTAGGCACTGATTCAGATCTACTTGACACAGGATGAAATCTCCTACAAAGAAGTCAAACTTCCACATAGGAAACAGCATTAGTCTAGTTGTAGTCTGTGATAAAACATTATGTGTCTATGATACCATGCGCTCCTATCATAGGAAGGTGCTGCTAATTGCATTTTCCTCCTGTATATACACATGATAAATAGACACATATGCATATATAGAACATGCTGATACCTGCAGCTTCCTCCAAAGAAGTGCCCTCTGTGTAGGAAATACATCTGGCATGGAGCAGTCTTCACAGGATAGTCCCTTGTCATATACTATCTCTCTATTTCTTTGTTTAGCTGATCACCTGTAAAATGAGGAAATCAGTGACCTCCTCTGTGAAGGTAAATGAATTATAAAAATTGATAATTATTCTGATTCATAACTTAATGTTAAACTATATTTTAATAAAATAATTGCAATAAATGAGATTCAAACCATATTAGATATACGTATCTATTTGTAGCTAACATTTATACATACCTGTAATATTGTATAATTATATTGGTTTTATAATATGCAAATAGATTATTGCCTTGCAATAATTCATGCTTTATTCTAGAACTAAATGGCTAGAACTAAAGACCATATGAAAAAATTGAGGTTTCTCCCTGAGGACAAAGATATTTACTGCAAATGTGGCGCTATTCAAACAACTATCATCTTTTACAGTGTCCCTTGGGACCGACATGCACACAGAATGCCTTGCTGGTCGGAAATACTTTTGCCATCAGTATGGCCCGGCATTGGACAAGAATTATATAAATCTATACTTTTATTAAAGTTTTCAGTTTTTTAAATTTAGATTAATAATTTTCCCTTTTCTAGTTCCTGCATTTCTGACATGAGACGAGATGAGATGCTTTATTCAATTTTGTTATAGATGTTGAGAATATACAAATCCTTACCAGATTTTTAGTGAAATCAATAGGAAAGATGATATTTACTCCTTTTGAAGCAATATAAGGTCAAAGTACCATGGGATAAATCTCTCAGATCTAGAATCTTTGACAACATCACCAGCGATATTTCACAATTTTGTTCAGATGGCAGAAGAAAAATATTTGCAATACTAATTGCAAATTACTATTAATTTAGTACTAATTAAATTTGAAATTATTAATTTTTCTAATTTAAATTTGGCTGGAATCAATTCATCTTGGAGGGTTTTTTTACCATTTTTTATTTAGAACCACTATAAGCTAAAGTCGGCTTTGAAGTGAGTTAACTGAGTATTAATTTACTCATTAAAAAGAACAGACTGACTAAAAAAAATTATTAGCACCATAAAAATGCTAGCCATAATTCCAAAATATGACTTTGTGCCATATAGGTAAGCCTCTTAAATAGCATAAAATCATTTTACCAAAAGTAAAATTAAGGCACCTAGCTTCTTATTTTCTAAAACTTTTTAAAATGTTTTTAGTCCTCTGATATTAGAGATAAATTGCATATTTTTCTTAACAAATAAGAAATATCACCCCAGAGATCTTTAAGAACTCTCAGTGGATACTATCTCAACTTGGTGGTTTTTAATTTTTAATAAGTCCTAACCACAATCTCTTATCACTACCTGCAGCAAGTCTCTTTTTCTGAAAAAGGAAAATCAGGCATAGATATTTGTGATTTTTATTTTATTTGTATTTTATTTTTGCAGTAAAGGTTAAAGTAATTTAACAAACTTTTTCAGTAATGACTGATATCCAAAAACCTTAAAGGATCAATTTACTTACCCAAAACCAATGGCCACCCAGTAATTATGAACACTCTGATGTGGTCCCACCATTGGCAAAATATCTGGAGAATATGTTATAGGACCTGCAACTATATTGATAATATCTGCTTCTCTCAGGACAGGGACCATTTCCATAGCAGCCTCGACGTGATCAATTATTCGATCCAAATCGGATTCAAAAAGCTCCTTTCCAAAACCTTAAAAAAAGGTTTGATATATTATGTACGTACTGTCTTTCTATTTTATCCAGAGCAAACAAGCAGCTCCTTTCTCAGAAGGACTCAAATATTGGATGTAGGACTCAATATTGGATGTAAAAACAAAAAATATTAATTTACTGTCTGGAAGAGCACCACAGAAAAGCAATGACTAATATATATATATATATTTTTTAATTTAGCAGACTTATCCCTGCCCATCTCCCCCCAATGGGGGACTCTGGGCAGTTTACAACAAATTAAAACAAATAAATACATAATTAAAATTTATAAAAAAGAAAAAAACATTTAAACAAA